CCCCCAAAAAAAAAAAGTAGTTGCATCTAGAAATAAAAAAAGGCAGCGCTGTGTTGTTATTTTGTAAGAAAACAAAGCAAAAAATAAATACAACGTTGAGTAACAAGCAGCTTTTTTGATTTAAAGCGGCGTAGCAAACAAAGTGAGCACGTCAAAAAAACAACAACGCAAAGTTGAAAGAGAAATAAAAAAAAGAAAAAAAAAAAGGAACTCACGTTGCGAGCGAGCAACTTGCCGTAGGTGAGGTGAGCGGGCACGTGGTCGGGTTGGCTGGCGAGGCTCGCCTGGAACCACTTTTCTGCCTCTGCGTAGCGCTGCAACCGCGACAGGGTCTCCCCGAGCAGGTTGTACACGCTCTGGGGCGGGTAGTGCTCGGGCAGGCTGTCGAGGGCCTGCTGGTACGAGAATAGCGCCTTGTGCAGCCTGCCCTCGTCCGCGTAGAGCGAGCCCAACTGGAGGAGCGCCTGGACCCGCGCCGCCTCGTGCGCCCGACGATCCTTCAGAGCCGAGCCGTCCAGATCGGCCGCCGTACGTAGCACGTGCACCGCCTCCGCGACCCGGCCCAGAGTCACCAGGGTCGCCCCCAAGTTAACGTAAGCCTCTGCGAGGAAACAAATATTATACCCCCGTAAAGCTGAGGGGGGGGAAAAAAAAACTTACGCGCCAGAGAGGGCCTGAAGTGAATCGCTCGCTTGTAGCTGAGGATCGCCTCCTCGTAATCCTTCCTGCCCTGCTGAAGCACTCCCCTGTGGAGGAGGATGCAGGCGTTGGATCAACACATTTTTTTTTTTTTTTTTTTTTTCATAGAAAAACTGTAAATAATAGCGCATATTATGTACTCACAGATTGTAGTGGACGTCGGCCATGTTGGGCCGATGCCGGAGCGCCTCGGCAAAGGCCATCTCCGCCTCCTCGACTCGGCCCTGGGCGCTGAGGACGCTGCCCAAGTTCCCGTAAGCTGCAATTTGTCGAGCAGTTAAAACGGAACTTTCCAACAAAGAAAAAGATGAAAAAAGAGAAAAGGACCTTTCGGAGGATTGATCCGGAGGGCGGATCTGTATAGATTCTCCTCGTTGTGCCAGTCGTTGTTGCGCATGATGGTCCTCGCGGACATGCAGCTGAGCAAGACCCCGGTGAGCAGTAGAATGGCCCGGGCGGTGCGGGGACAGGCCTTGCGCCTGGCGAGGTCGTACGTGCCGGAAACGGCGGCGCCCACCGCCAGACATGCCCCCACGCTCGGCAGGTAGAGGATGCGCTCGGCGATGACGAAGCCGACGTAGAAGAAGAGGTTGCTCGCCGGTAAGAAGGGCAGGACCAGAAAACCCAAGATCTGCAGGAGCGCCTGCGCGCCCGAAACTCCCGCCGGCCGACCCGGAGTCCTGCGACGATGGGGGGTAAAAAAAAATACACATCAGCACACTTGGTCTGTCGAGAGCAACGTTGGGATTATATGCGCGATGGGTATAGTATACTTACGATTTTTGTGTGAGGGTGGAGGCCAAGGAGGTGGACGAGAAAGTGGAGGTGGTGGCGGTATAGGGCCTGGGCCGGTAGAGTTTGTTGGCCTGTTGGCGGGCGGCGCGTAGCTGTTTGGGACAGTGGCAGTCGACGACGGGGCCGTTGTTGTTGTTGTTGGCGGCCCGGCAGCCGTCGGTGTGGCCGTGGTTGGTGCGCCGGGCCGAGCAGACCGGGCAGCGCGACGCCTCGGGCTCGACCTGGGCCAGCCAGGAGCTCCACTTGAGCAGCTGTTGGTGATGCTGGTGCTGCGGGCCCCAGCAATCCGAGCTCGACACGCTCGACGCGCAGCTGTAGCTGTACGTGGCCGGTGCTGACTCGGCGTGCTGTCGGGACCGAGTTTTCTTACATACTTTTAACGTTATACGCCACCAAATCGACTTTCATACGGGTTAGAAAAAAAAAAAAAACACATTAAAGTGGTTCGCCGTACTCTTACTCTCTATATTTTGAATAGTGATAAGTAAATACAACTTTTCCAATAAAATGCATAATATATGTACACACTGAATAATAGCGAATACGGACTATTTTAGCAGTGAAACAGTCCATTTCACTATTTCAAAGTTGTATACTTGTAACTTATTTCAACTAGTGAATATTCACTATTTCTGCCAAGCTAACGTTTCACCATTTAAATGAGTTGGTAAAAAGGTATTGTCGGTGCCACATAAAATAATGTGGATAATCTGTACAATTCTCTTCACTTGGATCAAGATGTTTCATTGAATTATCGATGATATTTTTATATTTTTTCACTATTTAGCCGATGAAAAACTTGTTTAATTTCGCAAACAGTGAAATTGTCACTATTTCAAATTTAAAGAGTATAAGTAATACCTAACATTAAAAATACTTTACTCATGTATATGAGATAACTCGTCCAAAATGATGTACGTCAAACTTGCGCTGATTATCAAAAATGAAAAGCAACGTGACGATGTGTTTTGTTTTCACGTAAAACCTCATTGCTCATCCCGTGACGTTGATTTTTCATCACGAAAGGAATGAAAAAACAAAAAATATAAAAACAAAGGCCATCCAAATGTAGCTCGCAGTACAATCGGGCACACATTAAAACAAGCGTGAGCATAATTACGTATTTGGGGGTGGCGTCCACCTGGTCGGCCGGTGCGTGCTGCGACTGTTGCTGCAGCTTGAGCCTCTGCTGTTCCCGCGAGTGTTGGCGCCTGAGGGCGCGCAGAGCCCAGAGTCCGGCGGCCCCTAGGGTCCCGTACAGAAGCAGCGAGTGCAGGTTCCGGGGGTCGGCGAGGCTCTCGACGGGCGGCACTGCGCTCATCGACCAGTCGAAGCTCAGGGTGCACGGGCAGAGGAGCATGCCAAGACTCGCCGCCGGCAGGTAAAGGAACGTCAATCCCCGAGCCAGCCTCGAGGGATGCCGGGCCACCGGGTTGTCGGCGCTGGCGAACTCGGGCGGCCTACCCGAGGCCAACAACCGCAAGCGCGCCAGCGCCAACCCGGCCAAGCTACCCCCTAGCAACCCCGAGGCCGGCCACCTGCCGCGTGGCCCGAGGCTCAGCTCCCACAGGAGGCAGAGGGCCAGCGAGGCGATGCCCGTCTCCTTGGCCAGGGTGGCGAGCAGCGAGAGCGCCAAGGCCGCCCCGAGACGTAGAAGCCGGGCGGGGCGGGTGCGGGCCTCGGGGCCACGGTAGCCGAGGTACGCGAGGAAGGCGGCCTCGGCGAGGAGACAGGCGAGCAGGTCGGCTCGGCCCACGACTCCGGCCACCGCTTCCGTGTGCACGGGGTGGGCGGCGAAGAGCAGACCGGCCACGGCTTGGGCGAGTCGTTGGCCGGGCAGGAGGCGCCGGGCTATGCGGACGAGGAGGCCGGTGCACAGGCCGTGCAGGAGAACGTTGACGAGGTGGTAGCCGAGGGGCTCGAGGCCACCGAGGAGGTAGTTGAGCCGGTACGTGGCGACGCAGAGCGGCCGGTAGCTGCCGTGGGAGCCGCGCTCGCGCAACGGCGTGCCCCAAAAGTCATTCTCGAGCAGCCGGCTCCACGGGGCGCCGGGCCGCAGGTCCCCGTTTGTCAGTATCGCCCTCCTGCAAGCGTTTCAACACACTCTGTCATTGTATATAATATAATCCCCCTTGTTTTTTTTTTTTCCACCCATTGTTTCAACAAGGCTCAAAATTAAAAGCAGCCGCACCTGCGAATATTGTATCAGTATAAGTGTTATGATGCGCACATGTACACGGGGTATATAATATTATAATATACAGCTGGTGGGTATCGTGCGCCGGGCGCGATAGCGAAGCAACGAGCCGGCTAATGAGAATGAAAGGATGCGAAGGAAAAAGAAGGAAAAAGTCGAGCGGAAGCGTGTCGAATGTGTATAAGAGTAAGAAGTAGGTATAGGTATAGGTATATATACACGGAGGAAGGAAGAAATGGAATAAGGGGCTCTGCGGAAAATAGCTAAAGCGTAAATACACAAGCTCGGCTGTATGTGTGTATATGTATAGCTGCCCAGCAGATCGCAGATGCCGGTATGCGACGGCGAGAGATGTGTGTAGTGTGTATATATATATATATACACGTGGTGTAATAGGGGGGTTGGGGAGAGGGATGAGATGGGACAAGGGAGTAGGGGGTGCGCTATCGATTTCACCGAGTTTCCACGGGTAAACGCGACTGGCATAACTTTAGATGTAACGCCGATGCCTCCCCCCTACCACCCACTATAATATACCAACCCTGTGCTCACTGGTGACATGTAACGCGTTGCCGCTTTCGTCTTAACTCTTTTTTTCTTTTTCCTCCACTGTACCCACTATATATACCCACTACTATGTGTTACTAGTCTCACTTGTTCCGGATATGTATCAAAAATTAAGTCGCGCGCAGCTGTTGCCAGTACTAAATTTTTCATCAAACAGTACCGATATGTATCTCATATCAATGCGACGGATTGACCCTTACGAGAATTTATTTTTAATACGCCACCATCCCCCCGAAGTGTATATTAAATAATATACGGAGCCAATGTGTATGATTAAAGTCGATGAGAGGATCGACTTTAAAAGAAAAAAGGTGATCAATATACGTATATACATGTCGTGCTCGGCAACAGGTATCGCGTGATACGAGCAGGTGTTATGGGAAGGAAGAGGAGCTTAGACACACCACCTCTTTCGCGATACTTATACTCATGTATCTTGTTTCGCATTTGCATACACGCTCGGCCGACTATAACGACGCTACCCATGTATACCTATGTATATAGGTACGACCATCCCCCCCCTTTTTTTTTTCATTTTATTACTTTTATTACCATTTCGGTGGGAACAAAACTTGGCCGAAACAATGAAAAGAATAATAAAGATAGCGATTGTGCACCGCGGCAATATAATAGAAGCAGAAAATGAAAAAAAAAAAAAAAAAAGTTTTGTTTTCGCCTCGTTGCCTCGCGCGTTAGATCTTTTCTGTATTTCCGTGCGCTCTCGGAATGAATAAACATTTGGTGTAGCTTTGTTTTTGGGATTAAGTAGACTTGGGGAAGAGTGCGAGATGAAAAACGAAAAAAAAAAAAACAATTTACGAAGGTAAAGAGGTGACTAGAATTTTGCTCCTCGCGTTACTTGCACTCTGTATACTATATGTATACCTACTTGTCCACGCGTCGTTGACGAGAGTAGTTTTACTTTTGAGGGTAACTGATACATCTGCACGAGAGCATCAAAGGTACATAAGTAGATCATAACCACGTGGTGTTAAGTTTCTTAAGCTGTTGCTTGAAATATCGTTTCGTCCGCGTATTGCGTAACCCAATATCCATGCGAGAGAGCTATTCTCAAGTTTCTCATGTGACAATTTTTTCATATATTTTTCTTTTTTTTTTTTTTTTTTTATAAAGTACAAACTCGCTGTACTATCTCGTGCGAGTGAATATTCGTTATTTTTTTTCTTACCTAATGAATTTACGAAAACATTCGCAACCAAAGCCCCTGATTATCGCGAGAGTTACTGGCACGACGTTATAATTAAAAAGCTTGGCTTAATATCCCACTCTGGCGGGGATTAACATAAATCTTTCGTAAATCATTATTTTTCATTTCACGAAGTACGTACCCGCGTTCAACCAAAACGCAATAATTACCGAGCATGAAAAAATTGTCATCATTAATTTCGTTTGCATCGTAAAAAACATTAAAATTTTTTTTTTCACCCCGTGGAAAACTACAAATGACAGAATACATATAGGTAAAAAAATACGGTAAATATTTCCAATGAATGACACTGCATGCAAAAATACCCACGCGTCTTTTAATTTAAAAATCGATAAGATTTTTTTTTTTATCTCAAAACGCAAATAAACCCTCTTGGTGTATATAACGAGCGTCCGCGCGTTAAAGGAAAATAGGGCGCGTATCTACGATGTTTACGGCCCACCATTACACGCGGCTTAAATGAATTTCCACACGGAGGACCGTGCAACTCTGCCATATAGAGAAAAAAAAATATTCATCTCGCGCTTAATGTTGTATACCTCACATACGAATGGGAGTTAAGGGCATTATGATGATACACACACATAGGTGGCCAACCCCGAACCATCGTCTTGTATACGTTTGGGTAAAGCTCGCTTGTATACACACACACACACACACACACACGTATTTTATTGTGTACGCAAGCGCGCGCAGCTGTCCGAACACACGCAACACCCCGCAAGCTCATGCGGTGTACGGGTATACCCACTCGGGTCCATGGTCCTCGGATCGATTTGCTTTTCGCGTGGCAAATGTACAAAATTCATGGAATTTCGAAATTTCTTCCACCACCCCCCCCCCTCCCTTCAAGCTTTTCGATAATGCACGTGTACCCACGCTTGCACGTCCAGGTAAACAAACAAGAATAAGGAGGAGTACCCACAAGGAGCGGACACGGCTTGAGCTTGCGAGGATAATAATGCACAAGCGTATACGTATATTATATGCCCGAAAAGTTCGAGCGATGATAGCACCCACGAGCCGCGATTCCGGGAACGGCAAGGATGCAAATAACTGCCCGCGATCGCGTGTCCCCCTCCTCTCTCTGCGCCCACTTTAACCCTCCCCAACCCCCCCGTCATATCGTATACACGGCTAATAGGTATAATGTGGTGGCGCGCTCTCGAAGATGAGACGTATACTTGAGCGCGATGTGATGGATGATAAATAAATCGGTACGAGTGAAAATACACCCATAATTAAGTGTAGGTGTATATTTGTATGTAGAGAGAGAGAGAGAGAGGCGTACCTGTCATCGTAGACGAAGCCCGCGTGGAGGGTGTTGTAGTAGAGAGCGACGGCTAGGAGGGCACACACTACGTCCAAGACATCCATGTCACATTTCGACGGCGGCTTAGCCTAACCAGCACCAGCGACAACCGACCCCACTGCCCAAATAATCTTAACCACCTCGGATCGCTTATAACTTGTTGCTCTCTCGATCTGTATATAATACAAGTGTGTGCAAGTGCACTCGTTTGGCAGCTGTAATGATCTAATACGGCGATGCTCCTTCGGTTCCAAGTGTCATACTTGTGTATCGTGTAAGCTCCGTTGCGGGTGCTCCAGGAGGGAGAGGCTGCGGTCCCGGCTAGAGGGCGCAGGGATAGGGGGGGGGGGCGGAGCGGCTGGAGCCGGTTGATCTCGCGCCCCCGGGTACGTCTCGGGTCGGTGGGTCTCCTTGGGCCCTGGACTCGTTGGCTGTTGACTCGAAAGGGTGACGACAGCGGGGCTGTGCGTATATATTTATATATGTGTAGGGCGCGCAGGTAGAGAGTGGGTAGGCACGGAAATACGGCCGACACTGGCGCGGGCTCCTCTCGCGTTGGGAGCCTCCTTCCTTGCTCGTTCCCTCGCGAGCTTTGTATCCCGCATCGATCGGCCGGGCGCCTGCGCCTCCCCCCCCAACACCCTCTGTATATACCACGATGCCACCACCGCCGCCGCCCATGGATATGAGGGAGCCGCGGGAGAGATGCTGTCTGATGCTGGCTGCCACCCCCACTGCGTTGGCTCCATCCACCCCAACCCCCCCCCCTTATTCGTATGTGTCATCTCTAGCGTCGTGCGCGCTAACTCGACAGGGGGTCGGGAGGGAGGGCTCTGCACTCTCTCATCTCATCCTTCCTGGATGCCAATGCACGCCGGCTCACCTGCAATGGACCGCCGTGCAGGAGTTCCCCCCGTGGATGTGTGCGTACCCACACGTATATATACATCTATACTTTATAGCGTTTCGGTGCGCGGGTGGAAGGGTTTAATCACGCGCGTCCGAACCCCCTTCTCGAGCCGCTGTCGCCCCCGGCTCTCTTTCCAATCAGTCGTGACTTTTGAGATGCGCTGATGTCGTGAACCCTCGATTACTATGACGACAAGCTGCCTGATATCATTTTTTTTTTTTTTCAATCATCTGTATTAACTTCAATTTTTCCGAGATCAAAAACGTGATTTCTCCACGATACGGATTCGGACTTAAATGGTCTCATTTTGCTTTCAAAAAAATTATATTTTTTTTATACTGTCAATGGCCAAGGTTTTAGTGCTTTTTCGTGTATCGGGATGTTAAAACCGTGCGAGGAGTAGTTACTTCCGGGGTTGGTGGTGCGGATGGTTACCCATTAATTTTTTACCATCCAAGAACCGACGAAATCAATATAAAACAGCAGATAATTAAAAAATTACATCAAAATTTTTGAATAGAAGTAAAAATTATAAGAACAGTTGTCTATATTTTTAATAACATACTTTTGTTCAAATAAATCATATATACTATCTTGATTAACTAATTCAAAAATCAAGAAATTGGCTTTTTTTTTTCTTCGCATACGTGTATTTACAATAAATTTTCACTTTATATTTTTAAAAAATTAATTAAAAAAAAAAAGCAGAGAATT